CATGAAAATTCAGATTATTCTAGGGGGAAAATAGACATTTCACATTTGTTACTTTTGTGTCTGTCTTAGAATCCACTTCTGTCTTTATATCAAGTTGGTTCCTTAAAAATAACCTTTCGGAATTTTGCTTTGTCATTCCTGCCTTGATTCCTTCCAGTTTAGTCTCTCTGCCTTTTCCATTTGATATGTTTATATAGTGCTAGTAATTATAAGGGATTTAGAGCCATCACCTCTTGCCCAGCGTCTTAAAGGCATTGTTTTTATTCTTCCTCTTAGAAATTCTAGTTTAGCAGGGAGAGGGGAACCTTAATTCTAATTTTAATTGGATAATTAGCTTGGGAACATTATTCTTTAAAATTCCCCAAGTAAACTAATAAATCATCATTGTTCTTAATCCTAAAATATGAATATGATATTAATAAAAGTAGAGCTATTTCTTAGCTTACCTGCTGATGTAGAATGAAGTATTATTATCATAATAGTACCTACAACCACTTGGCTGCAGTGTTTTGATAGTTCAGAACCAAGGCTGCATTCATCCACACTTCACCTTGGAGAGAAAACTCTTAGAGGATTATAGATTCCAGTTGGTATTCCTGTCAGTAAACACATTCAAGAAGGACCAAGTTGACTCTTGTAGGCAAACGAATACTGCATTGGCTAGCACATGTTTCAAGGACAGCCTCTGAGGGAGAAATATAGAGAAGGAAATGGGAGAAGGAAGAAGGAACAGGTAGGTGAATAAATGAGTTAACAAACAAATCTGTTAAAGCCCTGTTAGGGCTTGGAAATGGCACAGTCTATGACAGGAGTGTGAAGCATTCATTTAATTCATTGTTTTCATTATATTGATATAAATACGTAGACCCTAGTGTTCAGTTCTCATTTCACTTAGCAGATTATAGTTTATCACTTGGGCAGTTATATACCAAGGATTTCCCGTGGGGCCATTTTTTTTTTGTGTGGTATGCGGGCCTCTCACTGCCGTGGCCTCTCCCGTTGTGGAGCACAGGCTCCGGACGTGCAGGCTCAGCGGCCATGGCTTACGGGCCCAGCCGCCCCACGGCCTGTGGGATCCTCCCAGACCGGGGCACGAACCCGTGTCCCCTGCATCGGCAGGCGGACTCCCAACCACTGCGCCACCAGGGAAGCCCGGGGGCCATCTTCTTTTAGAGCCCCTTAATTTGTCCAAGATGAGAAAGAACAGGGTTTATTTTTTTAGTTGAACACCACTGTTGCCACTTAGGGCTCCTTGGGATGAAACGTAAGGGTTAGTAGACTTAACTCCGCCTTCTCTGCTGCCCAGGAAGCCCAACTAGGGCAAAGCTTGTAGAGGAGATGTTGAGCCTAAGAGAGGAGCTGCAGGTAGTGGACAGAAGACACAGGAGGGCAGGTTAGCACCTTTTGTAATACACAGGGTCATTCTCCTTTTAGAGAAAATAAGGAATTGTTGCTAAGAATTTTTTTGTCGACTTAAACTATGGTGATCTTTTAATAAACATATTTATTTAATATCATCTTTCTGCTCAACACAAAATTTAGGCACTGTAGCTTATTAAAGGGAAAAAAAAAGTTCATCCAGCCATTTCCCTTTATCCTCCGTGCTTCAGTCATGCCCCACAGGCGGAGCATTTTTCAGTTGGTATTCTTTTCTGACTAATGAGGTAATTACTGAACATTGACTGCAGGACTTCTTAAACGTTTTGTTCTTCATCAACATATACAAGATGCCTACACGTACAACATGCTACAACATTACGTAGCATTCCCAGGTCTATGGATCCTTAAGTTCTCCCATCTGCTAAAAAATTCTGTAGATATCTCAGTAAAATGTTTAGTAGCATCTGAAATTTCTCAAGAGAATGTGGTCGTCTGAGGAAGCCTGTGGTTCTGACAGAAGAAGGACTTCTGCCCTAATGCTGGCCTCCAACATTGACCAGCAATATATCCTTCATCTTCCTCTTCCTGGAGCTGCACATTCATCTTTTTGTACTGTTGGTACCACTTTTCCCGATTAAATCAACAGTCACGTCATCGGGATTCTGACAGTCACGTCCTAGCGCACCTAAGTGCTTGGACAGTTCTAACCATTGGCCATGGGTGGGTGGTGGTCATGGCCACAGGGAGCTAATTACGCATCACTCCAGGGGGTTTTGAGAGCAGAAGTTCAAGTCATTCTGCTTACTGAGAATATCACTTCAGTGACCCTTGGTCTAAGCACTTAGGCATCACTTGAGACTTTTGGATTTTCTAACCTCTGACAAAATTTTAATTACCCAGGAAGAATAAGCATGGCTGTGACATCTGTCGCTGTAAGAAATGCCCAGAGCTCCCTTGCAGTAAGATCTGCCCCTTGGGTTTCCAGCAGGACAGTCGTGGCTGTCTTATCTGCAAGTGCAGAGGTAAGTCCCAACGCATAACCCTTCCCCGCTCAGAGCAATCAGAGGCACAGAAACCAAGAACGGAAGTAAATGAAATAATTTCAGTGATTGCTGTCCACTCTGACACCACTGTCACTCTCCAGAGGACCATCCCTTGTCCTTTCATCTCAATGGAATAAGAGCTCAGAATAGAATTTAAAGGAACGGGCCCCACGTTGACCAAATTAATCCCTTCTTAGCTCTTCAGTTTTACTTGTCTCAGGAACGTTAGCCTAAAGCATCTTTATCTTGACCTCCATAAGAGTCTCCCTCTGTCCAGCAGTGGATCGAGACGATTGATACAGCAAAGGTCCCTTTTCACAGCCCTTTGAGGGTGGGTGAGGCTAAACAGTCTGCTTGTGTATTTTCTTGGTAACACAGTTTTCCCTGAGAATGTCGACTTTTGCTGAATAACCACATGCCAGCCTATAGTTGTGTATAGGTGTGAGTCCTGGGAGTACCTTTTGCAGGACTTCCCCCTCAAGGGATGTTCCTGAAGCTGTGTGAGCCCTTACCCCAGCTCCAGCGCCACTGCCCACCCCAGCTGGTTTTAGTTGTCCACGTGAGCCACAGATGAAGCAGTAAAAGACCCCTAAAGTTTGTTCTGTGTTTTTTCAGAGTTGGACAGTTACCACCTTAAGAGTGTTTTTAGGGGGTCAGAGTAAACAAAAATCTAGTCACTGCTTCAATTGTTCTGCAGAACGAAAATCTGTTAGTTACTAGTGGCCCAGGATTGCCCCACTGAATGATGATTTCTAGAGTGATTATTCTGCATGTATTAAAACATATGTGTAACATTCACGCTGAAATCAATCAGTGCTTGTTTACTGTATAGAATATGAGAACGTAGAGTGAAGGGAGGAAAAAAAATACCAATAGCAGAGAAATGTATTTGCAGGGTTTTTTACTCCCTTTTTTCTTTTTTCAAAATTGAGAGCATATTAACTTAAATTCTTTTCATGATCCTTTCCTGTGTCACAAGCTGTGCTGTGTAGACAGGATTTTTGGTGGCTGGGTAGCATTACCTGTAAGGAACTACAGGCTGTTTCTCCTGTGCAGTAGCTCCTTCTTTACCAGGCTGCCTTCTGTCTGTCCAGAGGTCCCTGCTGCAGCCGGGCCACCCGTCCTGTCAGGCACATGTCTGTCCATGGATGGTCATCATCATAAAAATGAGGAAAGCTGGCATGATGGGTGCCGGGAATGCTACTGTCACAGTGGACGGGAAATGTGTGCTCTGATCACCTGCCCGGTGCCTGCCTGTGGCAACCCCACCATTCATCCGGGACAGTGCTGCCCGTCATGTTCAGGTAAAAGCTGGCCGCCATCTCGTGTGCTCCCTAAGCAAATGACTTTTGCCTCATCACATCTGTAATTCCAGGGGAAGTGCAGGGGACGACCCCTGGAACGTATTTCAGCTCTCTGGTTTTTGTCAACAATAGCCACGAGTGTCAGCCAGGTGCTATAAATGATTAGCCAAAAACCAGAGAATTATTCTAAAGCTCTAAAACCACTCTCCTTATTTTTGAAGGTTTACTCAATTACATTGGTCTTTGAACTACATTTGTGTACAGGTTTGTGGGCTTATGTACTTAAAGCTCCAGCTCTCCATCTTATGGATAATGTATTAAGGCTGAATGTCTTCGTTAATTGGAGGGGGTTGTTGTTAATTTTATTCCATGAAAGCTTCTTATTTATAAAGTAATATTCGAGAGGGAGAGAATTACTGAAGTCTGTGAATATTGCTTTTTTTTTAATTAATGGATATGTGGTAGTCTTGCCAAATGGAGATGTTTAGAGTGACCACACATCCAAAACATTTACAGTCATAATAATGGTAATCAAGATAAGTTAGTAGAAGAACATAACAGATTTATAATCCATAGCGGTCCAAATTATGGTTGTCCATAACAGTAATTATTACCATAATACCTCATCTAGTGCCTTTGATCCAAAGAACTCAGCATGGTTTCATAGTTATTATTTCTTCCACCGAGTGGAGGCCACTGAATTAGGGAAAAATACACTTAGGCAGTTTTTGTTTGGAAAACAGACACAGAGAGATTAGCTTTCTTACCCAAAGTAAAATAGTGTGTCAGCTAGAGGGCCAGGGAGACATGAAGTCTCCTGATTCTTGCATCGAATTTCTTTTAAAGTTGAAATGTACTGTCCGGTTTGTGGGTAGGGATTGTATTTCCCCGGTCAGTCTTGGTTCTGTATCTCCCTCCACCTGCACAACGGGTGCAGTCAGGAACCTGAGGCCTGGGCCTTTTGCAACAAGGCAGGCCCGGCCTGGGAGGGAGGTACCGCACGCTGGCACCTCAGTCTGCACCTGCTTTGCCTGCCGGGGGGGGGGGGTTGGCAGAGAGGCACTGGAAGTCCTTTTTAGCCCTGACATTCTACACACCTCAGTAACTAAGGTATTAAAGTGACAGGCAGCCCCCATACCCCTATAGGGGACCAGATGACAAAGTTTTGTTTTGTTTCGCATAGTTAAGCCAGATGTGGTCTGTATCAAAACTGCTTCCTTATCCACATGTTTTGCTAGTTAAATATGAAAAACCACTAGTGCCCACTGAAACAGAAGACAGATGAACAATTTAACGAGACAGAACTCTGTGTTGACTCTGGGGAAGGAAAAATCATTTGTTCCAATGAAGACCCCATGCTTTAATTATAGGCATGAGTATGCAGAGTGTGGCCTGCACCTGGGTCTTTGCTAAACGGTGTACTCAGTGAAGAACTCCGACCAGTGGAAATGCAAAGATATTACTAAGAATAGACGATTGACTTAAGAACTGAAAGTCAGTGAAACCAAATCTAGTTTTCTCTATTACAGAGATATGGAAAGTTCTTAAACACACACAGAATTATTGATGTATTATTGTGGATGTGTGACTCTGTAGATATAGACATATAAAAACACACAGGTATTGATATATATGGATGTGTAGGTATGTTTTTTTCCAAATGTCTTTAGTGAGTTGCCACATATGGGTCTTTCTGAATAGAGACCAAGCATTGTTGCAATTGTGGACTCCTACTTCAAAGAATATTTTCTCCTGACTTCTATTCAAGGATCAGCTGTTTTTCCTTCTGAGATAAGTGAGCAGCCTCTGAACTCTTCTGACAGAAGATTCACCAAATGATACTGTTTCTCAGATTTTTTTTCCCTTTCTTACCCTCTACCTTTCAGTTTTTCTATCACCTCCATCTATCTGGTCACTCGTGTTTTGCCTTGAAGCACATGGATATATATATAGCAAAGGAATTCACAGACTAAGACACCTGCAAACACACATCGTTTTTCTTCTGACCATTTCCTTACGTGGCAGCATTTAAAAGGGCAGCAATCGTCGATCCTCTCCAAGTCCTTTCAAAAGGGAGACTTTTTCCAACAGTAGTTTACCAACAGTCTTTGGAACTAATTTTTCTTTTTCTATAAACGGTGAGAAATGCACTTTTATCTCATCGCAGCTCAATTTTCATTCTAATTATCTTCCTTTCTACTTTCCTCATATACTAGAAAGTTTGGCCCAGTTGGTTATGAATGTAAGCGTTGGCTGATGTCAGTTTTCTGTGATATGTCCCCTTGGTCAAAGTTCCAGTCTTTACTAGCTCCCTTGAGATAAAGCTGTATTAAAAGTTATACAATGCCTTCTTAGCTGGAGCTGGGCCCACACCACTGTATCTCATCAATATTGCTACGTCTCAGGCTGACCACTGCTTTGAAAGTCACAGCCCGTGAGTTCTTAGGAGACGTCAGCTCTGAGTATCTCTGCACAAACAGGGTAGTTCTTCTGAGGCCCAAATTCCACTGATCTCCAAGCGTGAGCCCGCCATGGTGTCTCCAGATGGCTTCTCCGCAGGGTTCCACACTGTCGGCACCTTCTTCAGACGCCTGTTGTGTTTGGATGACACGAATATGGTTAATATCTTCATACTTCTCATTTCGCCAGCACAACTTGAGGGCAACTCCCAGTGCCTCTCCAGACATTTTCAGCATTAAATTCCCTCTCTATCACTATCATCTCACCAAGAGCCCCAGATCGCCTCTCGTCTGGGGAAAGAACTCATAGTTATCATTGGCCCCTGGGCGTTTACCTCTCTTGATCATATCGCCAAACAAATGTTTAGTCTCAGGTGAGGGTTCAGACTGTTGATTCTGAAAGAGCATTCCTGCTCAGTGTGCCGGCAGCCGGTCGGGATTGGGGTGTGTCCTGCTCAACAGTAGGACTTATTTCTAAGCCTGAAAGGACTCAGGGTCCCAGAGATAATGAAGTGAACGGGGCACAAATCAGTTTACAATTGTATTTAATCTGGAGGTGTATCCATGATCCAAACAAACATAGACTTGGGTTCAGATCCCTTGTCTGCCCTTAATACTCTGAGTTCTCAGTTTCCTTATATGTTAAATGGGATAACAGTACCTATTCACATTGGTGTAAGGAATAAATGAAGTAACATATGTAAGGCACTAACATGGAAACTGGACCATAGGAAGCATTCAGTAAATGAGAGATCTTTATTCTAGATAACCCTACATTCACAGACATCCCCTAAGAGGCTCCTGTTCTCTTCAACAGTAGGAGTCCCTGTAATTTTTTTTTTTTTTTTTTTTTTTGCGGTACGCGGGCCTCTCACTGTTGTGGCCTCTCCCATTGCGGAGCACAGGCTCCGGACGCGCAGGCTCAGCGGCCATGGCTCACGGGCCCAGCCGCTCCACGGCACGTGGGATCTTCCCGGACCGGGGCACGAACCCGTGTCCCCTGCATCGGCAGGCGGACTCTCAACCACTGTGCCACCAGGGAAGCCCCCTGTGATTTAATTATCTCGTTGGAGCCTCTCGTTACTGTTGACAAACTGGAACCACTTGAACCTCACTTCCTGAAACTAGCTCTTCTGCTGTTGCTTTATATTTCTGTGCATGGAATGTTTTCTTCCCTGTGTTCTTGAGGGAAACAGCCAATTCATCTTCTTTGTCCCTTAAAGCCCACAGCACCAGGTTCTTCCCAAGCTGGTAAGACTGCAGATGAATAATTTCTTGTGTTTGGATTTTGTGTCGTTCCCCAGATGACTTTGTGGTGCAGAAGCCGGAGCTCAGCACCCCCTCCATTTGCCATGCCCCTGGGGGAGAGTACTTTGTGGAAGGAGAAACATGGCACATTGACAGCTGTACTCAGTGCACCTGTCACAGCGGGCGGGTGCTGTGTGAGACAGAGGTGTGCCCACCGCTGCTCTGCCAGAACCCCACACGCACCCAGGACTCCTGTTGCCCACAGTGTCCAGGTAACCGGCACTGCGCCTCGGGATGCACTGGGCCGATGGGGAGGGCCTGCAGCCTGGGCGTTGTCATTCTGCAGGACCGGTGGGCTGGGTTGAGCCCCACGTGGGAGTGGGCCAGACCCAGTCACCAGTAACCCAGGCAGGAACATCTGGCAGGCAGCTTTCTAAATTCATTCCTTTCTATCAACCACATATTTATGCAATCAGTATGCCTTGCACCTGAGGTGACTTTGAACAAAAACAGCAAAAAAAAAAATTGTTTCTTTCTACCCTTTTTTTCTTAACCCTACATCTCAGACTCAAGAGACAGTCCTGCTGTACCAGATTATTCCAGATGATTTTGCTAATGTGAAAAGTCATCTTTGTCTTTACAAAATGTGAAGAGCAATTATTGATAAATAATGTAAATAAAATCTTTGAAATATGTAAGGGTGGTGAAGATACTTTGAGAATGTTAAACAGAGGAATCGCTAAAAGATGCCTAATGCCCACCTTCTCAAATCTGTGATGATTAAGTTAAGATCCAGAAGTACTAAGTGACCAGCACTGCATATGTACAAAGAGTACTATTGTTTTCTTTTTTTTTTAGTTCTCAGATAATCTGGCCTTAGCAGGTGAATTTATGGTCATGAAACAAATATAATGAAACTTTGTCAGACTTTTAAACATAAGTAGCTGATTATGCAACGCAAGTAGCAATTCTAATTAACACTAGAATATATGACTTAATTTGTATATGTATAATTACCAAGTTGACAGCACACTAGTTTTGTTGTTGCTCAGTCTTTTAACTTTTCAAGTTAAATCAGTAATCATTTACCTTCTAAATATATGTTCTTAGAGCATTTCTGCTCAGTAAAACATAAGCCCTTGTATTACGTTGTTTTACATTGGATTATCCAGTCAGCCAGCTAAAATCTATTGTTCTCTCATTATATAACCAGCGTAGTTGATGTCCAGAATTCTTCCTGGGTTCACATTGATGATATTTTTTAATTGCATCAGAGGAAATTGTAGGGATAGCAGCATTATTTGCTGTTGTCATCATGCCCTGCTGCTGAGGTATTATCATCTTAGTACAGAATCTTTGGCGTAATTTTCAACCATGTTAATCTGAAAAGCTTAATTAGTGCAACGTCTTTTCTAGTATAAGAAATAGTTCAGATGTATTATGTTGTTAGGATATACCCTAGTCCCTCCTATATTTTTATCATCACTCTTTTACTTAGACACAAGCCCTAATATTTCTCTGTTAATATATGACCATGATTATTCCCATCCTCCTGGTGGAAACTACTCTGAGTGGTCTCTTCAGTGGTGATCATGAATTTATATCCGTTTAATGTATTCATTTTACAAGTGCTTATGGAATGCCTGAATTGAGCCATGGGGATCCCGGGCTTGATGAGAACAGCCACAACTCCTATCCTGTGGAGCAGTAATGCAAAAGAAGACCTTTAAGTAAATCATGACAGAGTGAGAGGAGTGCCTGGAAAGGAAAGCATCAAGAGCGCATGTAACCCAGGAAGCTTTAACTAAAGTGGGAAGTACCTCTGTTCCCACTTGTCCGAGGATCTGAGGACAAATACAGGGGTTGGCCCAAATTTATTGGTGGCACACCTGACTGGACTCAGAGGTTCAGCCCAGGCAAAGAACAAGAGCTCCCTGGAAATGGGACTCCTGTGTGTGCCAAGGACTGATTTCTTAGAGCCAGGTCTCAAGGCCAGTGCGCATGAGCAGAGGCCCTGCCGATTCTAGCAGAGCAGAGACCTCCCCTCTAGAAACAGGAACAAGCATCCGATGTGTGCCTGGCTTTGGCTTCTCCTTTATAAACGTACGCCTAGGTGACTCTTCCTTACTTTATATATAACTTGAGAGATACTTCAGTGATAGCCTTCATCTTAAATGTCAGGACTTTCTGTTTCCTAGATCAGTATTCTGAAGGTTACACTTAAACCTGTGAATAAGTTTGTATCTAGAATGCTCTTGTATTTTAAAATCAGTCACCTACCCCATCGTTGATCTTTCTGAACTTTCCATTCATAGTTGCGTTGCAGCGATAAAAAGTCTTAAAATTCAAAGCATTGATTTCTTCACATTGCAGTAAATTTCGACAGCAGCATTGATAAATGGAGTATTTCACATCTAGAAAAATACCATCTCTAACCTTAGGATACTTGCATCCTAAAGTTGTCCCAAAATGATATATATGTACAACTAGAAGAGTTGCATCCCTCATGGTGATTGTATCTCCTGGGATGCCTTGTCATTCCCTCTGTTCTTAACTCCCCCTCTCCTCTGGCCTGGTTTAGAGCAAGGTCTAGAAACGGAAGTGGGCTCATGAAGAAAGACTGAGCATCCCTGTAGGTGATGATACTTCACCAAGGTGAGAAAGGCAGAGAATAGAGAAGCACGTCTTTCTTTTTTCACACTTTTAAAGTTCTCTTTCATTTTTGATTTTTTTTTTTTTTTTTTTTTTTTT